TCACAATAAAGTGTGCAACAATTGTAATCGTATCAGTATTTGTTGTGCCACAGCACCTGAACTCAAGCTGGAGGGTCCTTCAACAAAAAGTGACTATCAAAATAATGCAAAACTGCAGATTTCTGTAAAACCAAACCCTTTTTCTTGTTTGATCTTCTCCACTCATAATAGCAACAAACTGCACCTATACTCTCTAGATAGGAAGAATAGTGGAAAAAAAGTAAGGAAACAGTGGAGAAGACAGCAAGACTAGAGCTGCAGAGGTTTACACCTTGCACCTCTGGATTAAAATTTTCATAAAAAACAAGACAACAGCATTAACAACTCTGACATCAGTCACAGGCCAGAGTTCTGCAGAAGTCAGTACATAACTTGAATCGCAGTTTTTTATATCATGTCCCAGATGCAAGGAGCTCAGGACTTTGCAGATTAGCCAATTTACTCTACTAATACATATAATTTAAGCATAAAACTCTAGGCATCTGCTCTTAAATATTATGAGATAGAGTATCAAAAAAAGCCACTGAAAAGGAAAAGCTGATAAGTACTCCTGTTGGTAATCTTGGAGTGTAAACCTGTATCTTTAACACAGGAGTATAAATCTGAATTTCTTTAGAAACACACTGCAAGACATGTGCTGACCCAAAATACTAATTTTATAATGGACTAGTAGCTGTATTGGTGAGAATTTCTTTTATTAGTCTACTTATATAGCACAGATTGATGAACTGAATTCCACCTTTCTTTAACAGAAAGTTATCCCTCTAGAAAGCTGGATATTTTAAAGTCAATTGAGAAACACACAGAACTCTGTTGTGCTTTGACCACAAAAACTGATTTTATACTGGTACAAGTCCATTTCTTAACAACATGGCTAGGAGAATATTTTTCAGACTGATGATGTCTGCCTATTACACAGAAAGATGTATATTTATTGATTCAGTTTTGGACAGCAGGATTAACTATTTCATATACTCACAAAGCATCTTTTGAATACAGAAGTGAATGCAAAAGAGAACTCTACTTACTTTCTTTTCCAGTAGTTCTCTAACAAACCTGAGAAAAAGCAGAAACAACGTTGCTACAAATCTGTCAACTGTATTACAAATTATGAAAAACACAGAAAATATATACTTGGATGCCCTGTTAAACATTTCAGACATGGATCAATTTTTTACAAAATGTTGGGCTAGGTCTTCAGATAAAATAAAAACAGGTAACACAATGAAGTCAGCATAGTTACACCATATTGTACTAGTTTTGAATTTGACCCTGAATATGCAGAATACTTTTTCATTTGCAATAATTAAAATTATACAAGTGGTAATTATTCTGAGTTCTCCCTGAAAACCAGACATGTGCTACATTGGATGAATTGAAAATTTAATTATAATCTACAGCTTCAACATCAGAGAAAGAAAAAGCAAATCAAACTTAAATTTGTCTGTACATGAATTTAAATTGCAGCATTCAATACTTTTAAAATCCAGTTTTTAAAAGATGCAACAATATTTTATACCTCACTTAGAATAGTTGCATATGTCCTTGTTCACTTAAAGAACCCTTGATTTTCTGGAAATGCTTATATAAATGATAGTGTATAAACTATCTACTTTATGGAAAACACGGGTTTAAATAAGTTGCCTCAGACCTCTACATAAAACCCCAAGTAGTCAATATGGATAATGCAGATGAGCAAATGTAACTTCCTCTGACTTTAGAGGGAGGAAATTTTTTAGAAAGTCCTATGTTCAGTGTATGTAAATAATTTTCAAAAGCCAGTTTGAGATGGCTTCTGAACAGGATCTCTGCGAATTTTTATGACACAGCTTATAATCAAAAAATCGTGTAATTTTGGTCACAACAAACACTGAATCAAATTAATCAAGTACCTTCAGATGGAAAAGAAAATAATGCCGGCTAGATTCATTGCACTGAAGCTGGTGCAAGATCACCAACTGGAAGTGAGACCTTAGTTCAACTTCCACAATGACCAAAGGAGTTTGAGCCCACCATTGTCCCAACTTTGAGAGCCAAAACACAATATGAATTAGGTATCATCTGTCTGACTCTCCTCTTGCTGATGCACCTGATATAAAAATAAAATATTCACTTGAGCAGAAACTCAAACTTCACTTGAAACAGAACAATAATGCTCAGGTGACAAGCCAAAACTTCAAGGTGCCTGCTTTAATCATTTTTCACATTCTTTAAACAGTGTGAGCATTGTTTCAAAACTGAAATACCTTTATCAAATATACCCTACACTTTGTACTTATGTACTTATGTACTTCTCTATGAGGAAAGAAGCTCAGATTCACATCACTGCCTTCTGTAGCAGAAAAGCAGACTTGAACATCAGTCTTTCTCTTTCCAGATGACTATAACTACTAGTAGCATATAATTCAATTCCCTGTTTGTCTTTGACAGAGAATGGTAGATTCAAATTCTTGCCAGAACTTATACTTAATATAACAAGCACTTGGAGTTGTATCTTATGCATACAGTATAAATATCACTGGAGGTTAAATCTAAAGAACTGAAATCAGAGTAACCCGTTTTCTGATGGTATGACAGATCACATTTCTTATGTTCCCCCCAAAAATACACAGAACAACAACCCTCCCCCCCAAAAAAATCCCACAAAAAAACCAAAACCCAAACAAAAAAAAGAACAGCTAAAACACTGTCCCCTCAAAGAAAGAGCATTTTCATCCTTCTGCAACTGTATTGCTCTGATTCAGATAAGTAGCCCAGACCCATCACAACAAGCACACAGGCCTCTTCTCTGTCCAGTTCTGGAGTACGTGACACACTCTCATGCAAAGCTCTGAAATATTTGTTATTAAAACAATCAAAAATTAATGAGTTGGAGGCACAAGATAAGTATTTAAAAGAAAGCTAGTTAGATCGTTCTGAAGCTTTTAAAAATGCCAGAAGTGGAAGTTCTGCCA